TATATATATATATATATATATATATATATATATATATATATATATATTTATAAAACCGATCACTGGTGAATGATCACTAACCGGCAAGCTCTTTGTGTGGGGAATCAACAGAGGCAGTGCTTAGAAAAGACGCGGAGAACTCAGGCTGGGGAAGTCCACCCTGAAGTAACAGCTGGTGCAGCCTGCAGACATGGCTGGGCGGTCAGCATCTGCAGAAGGAGCATGCCGTTCCGGCAAGCCCTGCAGGTGACATCAATGGCAGGACTCAAAAGCTGTTGGGTTACAGTGAAGAGTGGGGGTAGCTTGGTAGAGGCAGGAGGATTACAGGTCTTAGTTACTCTTAGTTACCTTAGTTAGTCTTAGTACCTATGACTTAGTTACTCTTCTTTGTGCTGGGGCCAGATACCTGACAGGAAGCAACTTAAGAGAGGAGGGTTTGGTCCAGCTGGAGAACATGCTGACTGTCACAGGGGCAGCAGCCTGAGGTGCTGGCCACCCGGCGACAGCAGTGGAGTGTGAGCCTAGCGTGGGCAGCATGCTAGGATCCCTCGGCGTCTTTGTAAGGAAGGATGTGAGTGCAGCAGCAAGCAGGACACTCGGGCCTGGAGAAGCCTCGGAGTGTGCAAAACCTTGCGAAGTCACTGGGGAAGCTGTGGATTGCCCCACGGGTAGCAGAGAAGTTGGCTGAGTCAGCTAAGCTAGAGCTGCCCACGGGGAGCTGGCTAAATTAATGAGCACTGTCTGAAAGACAAGCACAAGCAATGAGACCGTGGCACTGCGAGAAGGTCTTCAGGGAGAAAAGGAGAGAATGTACTGCTTGGGTTAGACCAAGCACTGCCCAGGCTGGACCTTTTGCCGACAGCTCGTCATTGGCTGAGGCTGCTGGCCAGTTATTTTCAGGGCGTGTGGCTCGGGCAGGCTCCACCGGAAGTTCTCCTAGGCACATGGCTGAGTCCTCCCAGAGGGTCCTCAAGAAAATTCAAGATACGCCTTTCCCCTGCCCTGCTCCTTCTGCCCTCCCCCATACTAGGAAAGGTGTCTAAAGCAGAGAGGCAAGACATTGACGGAAACAGGAGCACAGGAGAGAGAACGGCACACAGGAGCCCTCATTCTTTTTTATAGCGCTTTCCTCTGATGGTAGATTTCTTCTTGTGTGGGGTGAGATGATACCTGAACATGCACACACAATCCAGACTAATCAAACGGCGGCCATCGGCATCTCTGCCTCCTCGAACCTTTGACATGTGCTCAGTTGTTGGAATCCAGCACTTCCCCTTTCTTCAGTGAGTCTGGACACATCCAAGCAGTTTGGAGTGCGTTTAACGGTTGGGTAGCTGTGTGGGTTTCTGTGCCCTTTACCCTCGTGCTCTTTTTACTCGAATGCAAAGATGAGAGAGCCCAGGCGTAATGTGTTCTAACTTCTCCTTCGTGTTTCTCTCATCTGTACATTTCCAGGTCTTATACAACATCCTGATCGCCTTCACCAAGATGCACAAATTTGAGGACATAGAAGCTGTGGACATTTTGGCTGGGTGCGCCAGATTTGTCATCGTGGGGTGCGGGGGAGTGTTTTTCGGGGTCATTTTTGGCTTCATTTCTGCATTCATTACACGTTTCACTCAGAACATCTCCGCGATCGAGCCGCTCATTGTCTTCATGTTCAGCTACCTGTCTTACCTAGTGGCAGAGACACTCTACCTGTCCGGCATCCTGGCGTGAGTACAGTCTACTGGTGGGTCACGTGGGAACGTGTGGATGATTACCCAGGAAAGGCCTACTTTGAGTCCCCAAGACACTGCAGGGCTTAGGATTTCTTGACGTTCTGAAAGCTGATTCTGGTCCTTGGCCAAACAAATGTTCTCTCCGACATTTGCCTGAGGAGCGTCTAGCAATCAGAATGTCAGTTTAAAATGTTCAGGAAGAGCTGGTGTGAAGCAGAGCTGGGAACACATCAAGCTTAAGGGCCATCTGATCCGTTCCTCCCTGGAAGAATTAAGATGGGAGCCAGGTGTGCTGTGCAGGCTTCCAGCACTTGGGAGGCAGATGCAGATGGAGCTCTGTGGGTTCAAGGCCGGCCTGGTCTACGTGATGAGCTCCCGGACAGCCAGGGAAACCCTGTCTCTAGCAATAGAAATAGTAATAGTAATAAATAATAATAATAATAATCTTAAAGTAGAAACTTCCATTCTTGGCCTGCCTGTTGTTATTCGCCTTCAACACCCCACCCCCCACCAGGAAAGAGCAAAGCCAGGTGGCGGAGTGAGCATGCATGTCCAGTTCTTGGCCGCAGTAAGACACTTGTTCAGGTGTCCAACCTTACATCCTCGTAGCTTTGAAATGCTCTTCTTAAAATGAGACTTCTCAGTTTGGCCTATCAGGTCTGCGAGTGTTTTCTTCCAAGCATTGTCCTTACATCCAACATCTGGGCAGAAAACTTTAACTACACAGAAATTGTACAGAAATCTAACTGTATAGAAATCCTTAAACCCATTCAATATGAGAATATGGACTTTAGGTCCCATTATTTGTTCCCACTTTAAAACGACCACGCGGCTGCGAGGACAAGAAGGGGCCTTCTTTACTGTGTCCTAGGCAAATGGCTCCCGAATAGCCTTGGAATAGTTGAACCACATTGTTGTAAGAAGCACTGTTGGGAGTTGGGTAGAGTAGGTGTGTCATGACAGCGCTCAGGAGGCGGAGGCAGCGAGGTTGTTAAGAGAGCCTGCTGCATGTCGGAACCCAAGTGGAGTTAACTGGGTGAAGGCAGAGTCAGGCAGCCTCTAGGCAGAGTTGGGCTGAAATGCTCTCAGTAAGGGAAGGGAGGTCTTGACACGTTTTAAATAACTTGCCAGTGTGTGTGTGCGCGTGTGTGTGTGTGTGTGCGCGCATGCGTGTGTGTACGCGCGTGCTTGTGTGTGTGTGTGTGCGCGCGCGTGCTTGTGTGTGTGTGTGTGTGTGTGTGTGCATGTGTGTTATGAAAACCGTGCCACACCACATTTACTTTTTCTTATACCTCCTTGGCAGCAAATCAGAGAAGGGGACCAGGCAAGCATAGATTCTAGGTAGAGACGGCTTCCTGCCCGCATGGCCTTGCTGCTGGCAGGCGGCCTTTGTGGCGTGGCAAACACTGTTTCCCTCTGAGCCTCTTCTCCTTCCGCAGTATCACGGCGTGTGCGGTAACAATGAAAAAGTACGTGGAAGAGAATGTGTCCCAGAAGTCCTACACGACCATCAAGTACTTCATGAAGATGCTGAGCAGTGTCAGCGAGACCCTGATCTTCATCTTTATGGGCGTGTCCACCGTGGGGAAGGACCATGAGTGGAACTGGGCGTTCATCTGTTTCACTCTGCTCTTCTGCCAGATCTGGAGAGCCATCAGTAAGAGTCCCCCGCGCCCCCCGGACCCAGCACCCTCCTGCCCAGCCTCCTCCCCAGGCTACATCCCACACCCCTCAGTTCAACCAGCAACGGGGAGCTGATGCGAGCTGATTTTCCTGCATCAGGGAGGGCAGACGCCATGTCCTTACCAGCCAAAAACGCTTTCTGCTGGCTTCCTGAGCAGCTCAAAGCCACCGGCTAATGTTGCCCTCAGTAGCAAGGACGGTTCAGGGAGCAGTTTGTGTTTTGTTGAAGGAGAATGCTTTCACAGCTACACACTTAGATATAGCTCAGGAAATGTATCTGCTGCTCAGCCTCCTCGGCGGTTTGCAGTCTCTCGAATGTCAGCTCGGATGCAGAGTGTAATCTGTGGGCATTTACACTTCCGATGCAGCATCAGTGAGACCTCACACTCGTATTCTCTGTAAGACGAACGCTGTCGGGAAACATTCCCTTAGACAGCACAGCTGGCCTAAAGGACGGGTGGCTGATGAGTGTCACGCCAGCAATGGCGGAGGAGTGAATTATGTCCTAAAGTGCTCATTCTCACTCAGTAAAGTGCTGGCTGGGCCACAGGGAGGGCCTGGGTTCAAGCTCCCAGAATCCTCATAAACACTGGGAATCGCTGCTCACGCTGTTCTGGGGTGAGGGTGGGGGTGGGGGTGGCAGGATTCCCAGGGCCTGTGGTCAGCCCATCCAGTTACAGTCAGTCAGTTACAGCAAGAGCCTCTGTCTCAAGAATAAGGCAGACAGGAGTGTAAGGAAGACAGTGACCTCTGGCCTCTGTCTGCATATACACACACACACACAGTCACACACGCACACTCTCCCACACAGAGAGTTGTGTCTGTAGTCACGTGCATGCATAAGCAGAGGGAAAGGTTGAGCCTTCTTAATTATGGTATTATGAGTAAACACTGAGCGACCTGACTTCCGGAAGATGCTTCCCATACAGAGGATAAGACCCAGCGTCTGCTGTACACTTCCGTTCCAGGAGCTAAAAAGAACATCAGTGCTGAGCTGCGATATGAATGTCGCCTTTTCATTCGACAAACATATGTTATCATACAAAAGGAGCAGAGGCAGAGAGGGAGACAGGTGTTTGATAATCACACAAGGTCTCCAGCAATGGCAAGCTGTTTGTGCAGGAGCTGTCTCCAGTGTCACGTATGTGACAGACGCAGACAGACAGTGTTACATATACTATCAGAGACAGGATCTTACGTGTAGCGCTGGCTAGCTTGAAACTCACTGTATTGGCTTCAAACTCATCGGGATTCACCCCTGGTATGCACTGAGTTTGGGGTTAAAGAAGGGTGTGTGCCACCATACCCAGTAGAAAGTGTGTGTGTGTGTGTGTGTGTGTGTGTGTGTGTGTGTGTGTGTGATTCTTTTAGAAACTGTATTTTTAAATGACCTTGGCCAATTGCTTTTAGCCAATTTGTTAATATATCAATTAAAATTAAGTTATGGTAGCTTTGGGGATGCATAAAGGAATGAGCAGAGAGACGGGGATGACTCAGCTGCTCAGAGAGCTGTCAGTCCTTCCAGGGGACCTGGACTGAGTGTCCGCGCCCACGCGCAGCTCCCAGCCACCTGCAGCTCCAGGTCCAGGGCACCCAATGCTCCGTGGCCACTGCACATGCATGCAGCCATGATACAGGCAGAACACCTACACACGTAAAACAAACATTAAAGTTTTAAATGAGAAGAATGTAGAAATATTAAGACAGCAATAAGTGTAGCTGAGTACATGCCTATCCTTGGTGGGGAAAATAAAGCTCTTGTGATAAACCTTCAAATCTCACATCAAATTTTGGTGTGATCTCTGACTCACTATTTGGAGCTGGGCAGACATTGATCTATTTAAAGTCCTGCTCCTCAACCTGAAAACAGCAGGCTCATATAAAAACTATCCATCTCTTTCTGCAGGATTTTCTACAGCTCTGTAGGGAAATAGTTCTGGTGTCGAGAGAAGTGAGATCAAAAAGATCTCACTTTCTGGCCCAGCAAACAGGGGCGTGATCCACCTGGAAAGTGGGGTTTGGGGTTCCTTACCCGCAGTAGCACCCAGCCTCTCACCACAGTTGGGTAACAGAGAACTGCTGAACCAGCTGAGAGGGTGGCTGGCTTGGGCAGGCCACCATGGCTCCCAGGGAAAGTGTGAGCTTACAGACGACTGACTGTCCTCTCTCCCTTCAACTGTGATCTCTAATCACAGCTGACCACTGTACCGGCTATGTGCATCAGGCAACCTTTTCTGTTATTTATGAGGATAGTGTTTGTTTACCTTTTCGTCTACTACTCAAATAAGTATGCTTGGTTCTCTGTATCTCTGATGTCAACTAACCACAGATCAGTAACACTGAGGAAAAAGCACATCTGCCTTCCATGTGTACAGACTTTATTTCTTGTTATCACTTCCTAAATGGTACAGCACAGCAGCCATATCATAAGGGATCTAGAGACAAGTGCAAATGTTCATGAGAACGTGCACAGGCTGTACCCGAATGCTTCGTGTGATAGAAGGGAGCCATTTATAGTCATGACCATCCGTGAGGATTCCAGGCCTGGCTCCTGTGGATACTGAGGGCTGATTACACTCTCCTTATCTCTGATGATATGGAATGATGTAGAGCCTTGCCTCAGGTCCCATGACGAGCAGGTGACGAGAAGCTCAAATATACTCTCCAACGAAACCTGTAAATTCTGTTGTCTGTTGTAGTCTCATATCCCTGATACCAAGCTATGCTTCCCGTGAGATGTGGGTGGAGACACTCGGGTCATAAAGAGATATCACTTCTGAAAGGTTCACTGAGAGCTTTAGCAGAGGACCCTTTCTCACCAAGAACCAGGATGCCAGCAGTGGCTTTCTTGTGGAACACATTGGCCATGGGGAATCCATATGGTGAAAAACACTTCTGTGGTTTGCACATGCTACCCTGCCCTCCATGCTCCATTTATTTCTACTCTCACTGACAATAAGAAGTATCCTGTGTCCATCCTTGAACCCCAGGGTCTTGCAGACTTTCTTGTTTGATTATACAAACCTCACGCATCGAGCAGGGATGTCATCATGTTCAGTCCATAGCCACGGAGGGATCCAAACTACAGACTTCTGGGAGGCATCTCCCTAGAACATGAGATAAGAGGTTTTCATTCCATGGACACCTTTTCCTTACCTGGTTTTGAAAGGCATTGTGGATATAGATTAGAAATATACACCTCAACTTTTTAAATAAAGTTTTATTACTTTAAACACACACACACACACACACACACACACACACACACACACACACACA